CACAAAAAAAAAAAAAAACACACATCATTGTAAAATCAATACATTCATAACTTCGTTCAGAATCTAAAACCTATCAAAAATGATACTAAATTATGGAAAATTTTCTTCTTTAAGAAATTGTTTTTTTTTTTTTATGGTTAAGGCTTCGACAACTGAGGTCATTAGCCTGGGGAACTGTAGGGGAAGGAACTGTAAGATTTTAACTCGTGGGTTTTTGGCTGAATTTTGAATGGGCACCCATGGGTTTCTGCCATGCCCGGTTGGGGGCCGGCGGCCTCTCTCTCCAGACATCGCGAAATGCCCAAAGAGCGATGCCGCCCGTGACCGAGATTCGAACCGGCGACTGCGTGCGTCGCAACCGACGCCTTATAGTCCGCTCGGCCACTCCACCCCCAAAATTGTTTTTTAACACTGATTTTGAAACAATTTGATTCTTTTCACGGAAACCGAAGTTATAATAAATATGCACATGATGATTAGTGCATTCATAAAATAAGGGTTTGGACCCGGGTTCAATTTTAAAATCGTGCTTTTTATGGATTTTTTTAAAATCATTTTTAGGGATTCACATTTAACTTGGTATTTTTATTACAAATAAAGAAATATTGTTTGTTTGCAGTACGCAGCTATGGCGCTGAGCGACCAAGTGCCAACATACACAGTATAATTTTTTTTTTTCAATCAATCAAATAATTTCAAAATCAGCGTTGAAAATTCGTTGAAAGCAATATTTTTTAAATTGGTGAATGGCGTGGTAAAGTGCATACTTTGTTCCGATACAGTAGACGGATCATTATAATATTATATTATCCTCACGAAGAGTAATGACGATGAGTTACATTACACAAATTATCTTAAAATGTTTTTATGAATTTATGATCACACATTCACACGGCGTAATAGGTGGGCCTATTTTATAATTCATTCTTGTACTTGTTGTAGGTATATTTTATGATATTGTGTTTTCACTAAATTCCTAAAATTCTGCATGATCTTCTATCGATCTGTCATATTATAAAATATAAAAGCAGCTGTACCTATGTGGCTACTGGCTATGTATACCATGTATGTTGCTGAGTTTTAATACCTACCCTTCATTCAACATCATAGAAAAATAATATTAATATAGATATTATCTATGTTCAACACCGATCAGTTGGTTAATTGATCGAATTTTAAAATCAAGGTCAAAATCCATTAACTATAGTTATATAAATAGTGTTTAATGATTAGCGATGTAATGTTATCATAATTCGGGATCCGATTATTTATAGTAATTTGAAGAATAATCGCACTATTCCAGCCTTAGATCATATATGATATATATATATATCGTATATGATCTAAGATTCCAGCGAAAGAAATAATAATACACGACGAGTCGACGATATCAAAAAATACACTTATCACTTATTTGTAGAGAATGGTTTAAATGTGAGTCTAATTGTATGGTATATCCAATATTTAAAGGAAGATATTTAGATACTTCATATTATATTATCATCCATAATAAACATATTTTCAACGCTAATGTTTTCCACTTAGTTTTGACCTTACTATATGAGTTGGATCTAGGATATTGATCCGAAGCCACCGACAAAAAATCCACGGATAAAAAAGCTAGGGGATAAAAAATACATTAGATAAAAAAGCCATGGATAAAAAAGACACGGATTTATTTTAAAATTGAATGCAATATAATTTAAAATTATTTAAAAAAGTTAAAATTTAAAATGTAGAATTTAAAAATATAGGTAATTTAAAAATAAAAAAAACTATTAAAATAATCGTATTGTGTAAGCAATAGCTGTTAAATACTCGTCCGTTGTCCGTAGAGTTAAGCCATCATTACATATGAGAGGATCAAGATAAATTTCCCACAAAAGCTTGATGACGTACATATGACCATTAAAACAAATTTTATTGCCTCCTTTATTAGTTTTGACAATTTGCATTATACAAAATTCAAAAAAATTCCGTGAATAAACTAATAAATATATTACCACAAATATAATACCCCTTAGACTATTTTATTTCACGACACTTACACAGTTACACCGCAGGTACACAGACTGAGTATAACGGTGCCAAATAGCGCATAGAAGATAAAATTTTACCGAATTCCTAAAAATATATATATATATTAAATTATATTAATATTATATATTATATAAACCTATATAATATTGGATTATAGACACAATTACACAGTATATTGTTCGATTGCCATCCAAACATTTACGTTACGATATGGCGATAAGATTAGACCAATTATTATTGAAAAATAATCAGACGATATAGCTTATTTAGTGTATAGCATGGCTAAATAGACTATTTAATAGTCTATTTAGCCATGGTGTATAGTCTACTAATAATTTTAGGGGGATTTAAAATGTGTAATATTTTTGTATTAAAAAGTAAAAATACACGTATTTTGGTATTTTCTTCACATAGCTTAATTTTTGAAATATTTCGCTTTTTTTGGTTATAGCATTTTTAAATTATATTAATTGTATTCAATTTTAAAATAAATAATAATGCATAGTAGTACCTAATTTGTTTTAGCATAAAAATAAATTGTGCTTTATGATGGACTGTAAGTCTGTCACATTTTCTACTACCGTTTTCTTGTTATTTAAATATGTACGTATATACACTTCTAAGTTCTAARACAATAGAATAGATTAAAATCTGTCTTAGTCTGGTCTCTGGCTGTGGTTACTAAGTCTAAGATACTTATAACTTAAATTTTATTTCCAGTCAAATAAATTAMGATGAATCTTACCGTATGGTATATGTACGCTAAGTTTTACAGCTCTAGTTTTATATATTTTCGTAATAATTGTTATTATTTTTATCAACAGCTTAACTAAGAAAAAAAGTATGATACTATGGCTACGTATTAMTAAATGATATTTGAATAATTAAATTTAAATAATATTTATAAATTATGGCTACGTATTATCAATAATTTTTTAATACACTATTGTGTATGTATTATTTACTCATAGCCAAACAATGAGGGGATTTAACGGGTTATGACTTATGACGACCCCTCGGCCCTCACTCATTGAACCACATTTTCGGTTAGCACATTGCACGAATTAAGATATATATAAGGTGGAACAAATAGACCAGATAAAAAAAAATTGTGCTAATTCAACGTATGACAAAAATTGTTAATATTACATAAAGAAATAAGACTCATGTCACCAAATTCTCAAAAATCATATTTTTAAAATAGCAGATTAACCCACCAATCCCAACACTCAAATAGCCGAATATGCTGATGACAAAGCAATCTATTCCACCTACAGTGATCCTGACTTGWTTCAACGTCTCTCCAAAACCATTTGAACGACTTATCACGCTGGTACTCCAACTGGCGCGTCAAAATAAATGAAAACAAATCTGTACACAATATCTTCGCTCTCTGCCACAATCAAATTCCTCCAGTACATATAAACAATAAGCCTATCCTAGATCCATTCTCAGCAAGTCCTCAAAACCAAAATTCACATCTAAAATCTCCTTCTAAAACCCATCTGGCTGTACGGTATACCCCTCATGGGGCACTGCCAAAATATCTAATACAAGAAAAATTCAAGTGTTCCAATCAAAAATTCTCAGACTCATAACAGTCATAACTAATGCTCCTCTTATGTCTCAAATCATACGCTTCACATTCCTAAAGTCACTGAAACAACCAAGTTAACATATCTATTTCAATGACTCTGTAGACACTGAATGTACAGAAGGTGTAAATCACTTACTCTTTCTTTTTTTCAACAATTTTGAATATAATATGTTTATCTAATTGATTTCTATACAGTGTTGAATCCAGGTATACTTCAGGGGAGGGGGGCGTTCGCCCCTCCTGACAAATACAACTTTCTGACTTTCAACACAATGTACTTATTTATTAAATGCACAATACTAATTTAAATATAAAAAATTAATAGGTTTCTAATTTATTTTGTAATTTTTTCAATATTTATAATTTCTGAATTGTAATAAATTATAATAATACAATTTATAATATGTGACGACATTAGATTAACCTTAGATTGATTTTAAAATTTTAAAATTAATAATTTGTTTTATTACTTTTTAAATATTTATAATTTCTGAATTGCAATAAATAATAATAATAGGTAATATGATTTATGATGTGTGACAACCTTAGATTGATTTAAAAATTTAAAAAAAAAAATTTGTTTTGTAGTTTTATATAAACTTGATATGTCTAAATTATAAATTGTAATAAGAATAACTACCTATTAATAGATATAAATATATAATTTATAATACTAAAATGACGTATCACCATTCACCAATGAAAAAAAAAGTGAGCCCCCCCCCAGAAAAATTGTCTGGATTCAACACTGTTTCTATAGCAGTTGGTCTGGTTAAGAGGACGTCATACGGCTTGTGAAGTTTCAACTGAAACACATGTGTAAAATTTCACTGATAATTCATTTTAAAATAATTAAACCTGTTTACCAAGTTACATGTGTGTTTTTTGTTTCCAATCATAATTTTCAAGGTATAATTTAACTTACCAAGTGTTGCAAAAATCTTTTATTGTATCTATTGTATTAATATTTTTATTTGTAAGGTGAAGCAACCATAATTAGTTATGTRWTAAGTATGTGTATGTATTAGCGTTTTTATTAAACATTAATAAACGATGGCAGCAAAGGAGTAGTAGTGTTCATACAGATCCTTCTCTGCTGTCAGTTTAAACGGAAAAATCAATGGTCCAAAAAATCRGTTAATAAATTGGATGCAAATAAATAAAATTTGAATAAAATATATTGAATTGATCATTAACAATCCTAACTAAATTAAACCCTAAACAACTGATACTTAAAAAAGTATTTAAAATCATTTTCAAATAATATTTTTTATATACCTATAATAATTTATAAAATTTGTTTTTTGATAAATGACAATAACACTTAATATACCTAATATAAATTAACCTTAATACATTTCGCATAAATATATTATAAATATTAGTTTAATATAAAAATATAATAATTACACATTATCCTGTAAATAAAATTATTGTAATTCCTGACCCAATAATGACAGCTGTTCTAAGAATTCCGGTGCATTGTTCACTACAGTTGATCCATAGACAATTCTTAATTGAGGTATACCAGGTGATACAGCTTTATTTCTTACATACTCCAACAAATTTTGATATTCAATATAATTACCTCCACCAACTATAAACACTATAACTTCACTAAAATTATTTTTAGATTTAAATCCATCAGAATTCCGTAGCTGTTTTGGATCAAAATAACGAAATTCATCTGATGTGCCAGATGACTGTTTATTTTCCAATAATTCATCAACAATTCTAGTCACAGGAAACGTGTGCCTTTTAACTACTAAATTTTTTACTCCTTCCATAACAAACGAGGAAGTGTGAGAAAGTAATTTTTCAAACATATTAACAGATTTAGTACCACCTCCATATTGATTTGATGTAGATGTGATATTAGAAAACATTTTCCATCTTTTAATATATTTAAGTGGACTAAGATCACAACCTTGTTTTTCTAAAGCCGATGAATACATATCTATGTCTGAATCTGATATGGAATGTGTATAGATGTAATAAATTATAAATAGTCTCATTTTATCTTCAGCAGTTCCAGCTTCTGTATCATTTATAATATCTAATATTTGCTTATCTAATGATGCTTGGCTCATTACTTTTTCCTCAAATTCAAACAGTAAGTCTAAACGCCTCGATTTAATCACAGATAAAATACTAGTAGCTAAATCTGTATGCATATCTATTAATCTTTTCTTTTCTAATAATTGTGGTAAAGAATTAACAGCAGATGTCAGTTTAGCAGTATTATCACTCATCATGGCTAAAGCCACATCACTTTCGCCATCTAAACCCATAGACTCTTTTAACTGTTTGACTTCTTCTTCAGAGTTCTTTAAATGTTCCAGTTCGGATTGAATTGATTCTGCTACTGTAGGAAATGGGCTTCCTTTGTGAGTTGTCCAAAAAGAATCTTTAGGATCAAGATCAAAAGTTTTGGGTTTTTTTTGATCTTGTGCTACTGTAACTCTATTTAAATTTAGCTTTAAAACATCATGTATCAACGCTTGATAAGTCCATGTATGATGAAGAGGTGTTGCCATATCAATATTTCGGTCAAGTACAACCAAAAGGGGTCGTTGAAAATTGTAAATTCCAGAGTTTTCAGATGAGAATAAACTATTTCTAGTATCTCTTAGATTTTCTCTTAATTTTTTGTCTAATTTTTCAGCTACCATTTCTGCAGCATTACCACGAGCACTGCGAATTATAGGTAATGTTCCAAGAGTTACAAAAACAGAATATAAACCATCAACAGTATCATCCATCATTACTTCTACATCAGTATCTTTTGCATCTGCACGGTTCAATGCATAATATGATACTGATTGAGCATTTTGATTACTTARTATAAACAATTCATCTTCCAAAGAAATAAAATTTAAATATTGGTCATAAATTTTATGAACATGGCTTACATTTTCAGTATGTAGTGCTGAACTAGCCAAATCCTCTAGTTTTTGACGACAAATAGCCGAGATAAAGTTTAAATAATATTTTTCATATACATTATTCTGAAAGTCTTGAGCTATTCTGTCGAGATTAACTTGATCCGGCATACAAAAGTAAATAGCTGCTACATCAGGAATAGGATCTCGTTCAGAATGAATGCTCAAGTGCAATGTTACACCACATTCTCGTAATTCTTTAATTGGAATTAATGGTGATAGAATATCTTGGCCTCGGCGATCATATATAAGTACTTTCCATACTGGTTCTGAACCATTATCTTTATATTCAGAACTATTTAAGTTGAGCATTTGCTTTAATGCTGCAATTTGCTTGTCCCGAATTGATGACATAG